GTTGCCTCTTTTACTCTCCATTTCTGAGCTTCCAAGTACGGAGACACAGAGTTAGTATTACAGCCTCTATTTAAGGTCCACGCACATTTGAGACCGGGATTCACATGTATTCTGCACTGAATCTGCACGCATTGCAAACCGGGTTCCACACTCATTGTGAATTGGTATTCTAGTTGAACTTGGGCCAAATTAAGTATATAATTTTTGAAAACAAAAATTATGTATATATAACATACTCCCTCAGTCATACTTATTATTCATTGGTCAAATTAATTTTTTCTTCTTTGTTTATTTTCTTTAGTATTTTTTACTTATTTTTAAATTTAATTTTTTTTTGTTTAATAGCACTTTTAGTGTAGTTTCTAAATATATAAATTTTGTATATTAATACTAAACTTAATATTACAAAAATTTGAATGAAAATTAACTTTAATCAATTCTCGCTAACCAAACCAGACACATAAAATTGGACGAAGAAAGTATTACATTTTTTCATGTTATGAATCAAGATCCACACGTATTGTGCACTGAATCCACACGCATTGCAAACTAGGGTTCACACACGCATTGCAAACTAGGGTTCACACGCATTGTGAATTGGGATCCAAGCTAAATTTAGGGTGTGTTTGATGATATTTGATTAACTCATTCAATTAAAAATCTCATTCTCTAATTTAAAATGAGTATCAATTCGTTTTATTGGTAATTTAATTTTTAAATTTGAATCAGTACTTTTAAATATTCTTTTGTTCATATTAATATTTTGAATGTCATTATCTTAAGATCAATTGCTTTAATTCTTCATTTTTATATTTCTAAAATATTTTTTATAATTGCTAGCACTACTTTGCCCCTTAATTGGGATGCAAATAGTATGGTCTGGGATTAAAGATGTTTGGAGTGATAGTTGGTAACCAAGAAAAGAGAAGAAAAATATTCTGTGAATCCTCCGCCGTTCCTGTTCTCATTAAAAGTCTCAAAATGAATGCAATTGGTGTCATAGTGTCAGCTGGTGACCATGATCAGCAGACTAGCACAAGAAACAAGAAAAAGAAACACTATTTTCTATGGCACTTGAATATATGCCATTACTAATTACAACATTGACAATAATTACAGCATTATAATTACTATTTACAACTAAGCAATAGCAAAAAATACAATCCTCCAGTGGGGACAAAACAAACACCTCCAGAATATGATCACACCTCCATCTACTATCCAGCATTAGTGTGTTCTTTATCTTAGTATTTCTACCTCAATCAAGTCCTTCTTCACAGTCCAAGTACCAAATTGAACCTCAATGCTCAAAATTTCATTTACTAGGAAAAATACAATGGGTGTTGTTGATATTGAGATATTAGAGAGAAATCACCAACTGCAATAGAGGGGGAACAGCACCAAGCAAAAAAACACACATTCTTTCTCCAATTGGTTTCTTTATACTGCTATATTGAAAAGGAATGGAATGGAATGGAAATGGGAAATTTTCATTCCCAGACTAGTAGAGGAGTGTGAGGCTCAGATCTCATAGGAGTACTAGACACTGCCATGGCTGCAGAACCCTGATGCAATGCTTGCAATCAAAGTTGCCTTGCCAAGATGCAGGTCAGATTGCTTAATACCAAATCAATTTTCTTAGACAAAGAGTATTATCATCACAGCCTCCAGTTTTTACTTTATTTTATTTATTTATTTATTTTGAGGGAAAAATGAAGGATGAGTAGCTCACTAGCTCAGCAAGAGTCAGCAACCATTATTATTATCATAGTAACAGCAATAGAAACACTCATAGTGGAAGAAATCATTGGCATAGCAGAGCAGGCAAACCAACTCCCCACTCTGAAGCCTCATTCAGTTGCCTCTAAGGTGAACCCCTTTGCAATTCCATTTTCTTACATCCCCCATTTCCTACCCATCCAAAGACAGAATAAGATTACATAGAAATTGCCATTTTCCACAGTTAAAAAGGGCTGTTGCATCTAAACAAATGTAGTCACAGGCCTACCAGAGAGGAGCAACCACCCTTTCAAAAAAATCCCATCTCTGTAAAGCCTCATTCTTTGAGCAAAAACTTTAAAGAAAACCACAACTCGGGTTTTCAGAAACAGTATCTAGGCCAATGAGCTTGTGGTGGCATGGGTTCAAGCCCTAGTGAGGGCGGTATTGACTGTTGAGAAAGTAGATATAATAGAGCCAGTATAGTACTCAAAAAGAAAGAAAGAAAGAAAGAAACAGTATCTAGGAACTATGAGGCTCAGATCAGTCTTTTGATGGGCAAAAGAGTAGTCTACACAATGCCATGGCTGCAAAGAACCAGGTATAGTTCCAGCTTGCCCTGCCAAGATACAGATTGTGTCATCTACTCATCTCAAATGCCCAATTAATAGCCCAAAGAGAAGAAATAGAGAAATATCATCATAGCCTCACTGCATGGGAGATTTAAAACACAGCATTCATTCCCTGGAACAAAAGGGGTAGTAGAGTACTAGACTGGATGAAGCAGAAGGTCTCGAGTTCAATTGCGGTTTCCCTTGTCACCCAAACAACATATATATTCTTAGCAATCATTTTCCCCAGCAAAAGAAAATAAATGGCATAGTAATACTAGCATTCAAGAAAAAAATGGCATAGTAATACTAGCATTCCCTATGGACAATTGCCTTGTGGTCTAGTGGCACAAACATTCCCAATGACATTGTGGTTCGAGCCTCAGTGAGTTGAGAAAATAGTTATGAACAGATACTCCCTAGTAACAAGTGATTAGTACTAAAAAAATACTAGCATTCAAGAAGAGAGCCAGAGAGGAGTATAGTTCAGCTAGGTATGCCAAACAGAGCCCCAACCAAGCAAGAGCTAAAGCATTGATCCTTATTTTGCTCACAGAAGCTCATCTCCTATTTCCTGTCCGTGAACCCTAGTTTCCCAAACAAACAAACATACTCAGAAATTAAAGTTGGAAGTTGAAATCAAAGTTGGGGGGTAAGACGATGATGCAAAGACGCTAGTTTGATGCATCTATTAAAGCAAAAAAAGAAATCACTGGCCTCTCAGCCTCATTCATTGGGTTTGAAATTGAAGTAAACCATAAACGGAAGGGATCGAAGAAGGTGGTTTTAGGCTCAGATCTGTGTGATTGGAGGGGCAAAAGAGGAGCCTACGCCGCCATGGCTGCAAAGAACCGGGGATCTTCCGGGTTGCCAAGCCAAGATACGGGTGGATCAGCTCAGTGCCCAGATCAGTAGCCCAGAAAGAAGAAACATACATACAGATATCATCACAGCCAAGAAAACATCAACGTAACCATGGTCCATAGTATAATTTGCGCTGCTACAAAGAAAGAATCTTTGGTAGCAGTAGTTCATAAACCAAACAACCCCCAGAATATATGGATGCATTTCCATATTCTCAGTCTGTCTCTCTGTCTCTCTGTATCTATTTCTGGGAAAAAAAAAAACAAAAACAAATCGAAAGGGCTGTTGAAAATTGAAAATAGAGGGATCATTGCTAAACAGAGAGAGGCAACCGCCCTTTCAACAAAATCCCACCTCTCTGTCGCTCCTTTCTTCCTTTCTGGGCTACAAACCTAAATCTCAGGTTAAAGCCACTCCTTTATACACTACACTAGCACAAAAATGTAAACACTAACACGTTACACGTGTCCTTCCACTTTTTCTCACTTCTACAATCGATGACAAATTTTTTTCGATAAAAATTATGATTAAATATGAGTTTTTGAAAGCGATTAAATATGAGTTTGCAAGTATCTCGTGGTCTAGAGTGGTAGCCCTCATAGGTGAGGTTGTGAGTTTGAATATGAGTTAATTTTACTTTTAGTCTTAGATTTATAAATAACAGTTTATTTTTTTTTTCAAAATATACACTGTTAGTCTTAGTATTGTTGTGGCATGATTTTTTGTCTTCTATTTACAAAATAGGTTAATATACTTTGTATAAAAAAAATTTATCAAAATATCCTTATATTTACCTGTATTTCAATAATTTTGTTGACGAAGACCCAAAAATAGTCATGTCACAACAATACTGGACTAAATGAAAGTGTTCTGATACATAAAAATAAATACAAATTAACTATCACTTATAAATCTAAGACCAAAAATAAAATTATGATTTAATATCAAAATTTTTAATGTTAATATTAATTTTGCTTGATTCCTCTATATTTGTTTACGGTAGTCAATATTATTTAATGTTAATCACAATTAACATATCCTAATTCCTTTTTAGATGATAAGGAAATACAACTATTATTAAGAATGTACTAGATAAACCATTATTGTGTAATATGTTACAAACCGTACCAAAAAGACAAATTTATAAACTTTATAACACAATCATGTTTTACTCATTGAATCATCCATTTCGGACAATTGTCAAATGAAAGCTCGATTATAAATACTCCGTATAATTATGAGATATGGTGATCATGTAATACCAAACAATTATCAATTTTTACAAACCGCACTAAAAAGACAAATTTATAAACTTTATAACACAATCATGTTTTACTCATTGAATCATCCATTTCGGACAATTGTCAAATGAAAGCTCGATTATAAATACTCCGTATAATTATGAGATATGGTGATCATGTAATACCAAACAATTATCAATTTTTACAAACCGCACTAAAAAGACAAATTTATAAACTTTATAACACAATCATGTTTTACTCATTGAATCATCCATTTCGGACAATTGTCAAATGAAAGCTCGATTATAAATACTCCGTATAATTATGAGATATGGTGATCATGTAATACCAAACAATTACCAATTTTTACAAACCGCACCAAAAAGACAAATTTATAAACTTTATAACACAATCATGTTTTACTCATTGAATCATCCATTTCGGACAATTGTCAAATGAAAGCTCAATTATAAATACTCCGTATAATTATGAGATATGGTGATCATGTAATACCAAACAATTACCAATTTTGATGAAGTAACTGTGTAAATAAACACCATTCAAGTTTGGACCAAAAGGCGGATAAATCTATCTACAGTTTCTCAACTAACTTCAAAAATCTGTGTTCTGTAACACCATTTTTATGGTAAGAAAAAGCAAAGGTTACATATAAGCCTCCTCCTATCACATTCTTCTTCACTTCTTTCGGCTGATCACTAAATCTGTGACCATCTTCAGACACAGAATTCCTAAGACCCTAATTAACCATTAGCTACTTTTGAGATCATCATGTTAAATTAATTCACTTCATTCCAAATTTGGCGGCTTGTAACTGGTGAATGTGTAGTAGAAAAATGAGTTCTGGGACATGCATAAACTCCACTCTTGCAGAGACCGCCCATGAGAGATAATTTGTGGCCGAAATAGAGAATACAGTAAAATCAAGCCTCGGTCAATCTCAAGCGAGGAACAATGTTCATTGATTGAAGCTCCTGTAAAGATGAAATCATCAAACAAGATTTAAGACAACCAATCCAAACTTCCACAGTAGGGGACAGTTAAAAATAATAATAGAATGAGAAATGCCTACAAACACAAAAGCAAAAACCAGAAAACTAGACTGAATTGCAATTTAGAATATTGATGCAATTGTAACCCACAATAAGCTTAAATAGTCGGGGGGGTATTTTAAGCGGGTATAGCAATATCAACCAAGCATACCTGGATAAGAAGCTTGCATGCATATGGCAACTTCATGGTAGATATATTATCCCCATTCTTACATGTTGAACAAATGCCAGTCTTCAGTTTGTAGTTATAGTATCCCAACAAACCACACTTTCGACACACCTACAATTCAAAGTAAGAGCAATAATGTTGAAAGAATGTTTATGTGATCAACCACCAGACTAGTGAGAAATATATTAGGTTATCCTAATCACAAGCTCATGGCAGAAAACATAAACTTCGGATATGGATCAACATGGCAACCACAATATGAAAAGGCATGGTTATATGAGGAAACTAAAGCAACTATCTTTTTTGAAAAGCAAGTCAGTGCACAACAAAACATGCAAAAAGATAAATTAGAGGTAGACAACAAAATTATTTGGGGATCGGGAAACTAGAATTGCTTTAAAAACAGTTGGTTACACAATCGCAATGTGATCAAAATACACATTTCTTAACATGCAAGAACCAAATAGAATACAGTAACAACAATTGATGCATTATTATCAAAGAAAATAATGATATCTAGAATAAGCATCTAGACTTTGGTAATTTGTCTCACCTGAACCTCAAAAGGATCACTTGAAACCATCAAGCGCTCATATATCAACATACTGGCTCCATACGCAATTAAGCAATCTCTTTCCATTTCTCCCACACGGAGACCTGTAATATAATAAAATATTAAGGAGTTTTAAGACATAAAAACAAAACAAACCAGAAAAAAAGCTTCAGTGGTTTTCATGCCTCCATTTCTACTTCTTCCTTCAGTAGGTTGTCTTGTGATCATGACACGAGGGCCACTGCCTCTAGCATGCATCTTATCTAAGACCTGAACAGCAATGATATATCACTTTTAATATATCAATGGTACTGAATAAAAATATTAAGGTTGTAATACAGAGAAATGTGAAATAAGACATGTCAATTCTTATACAATAGCCTTTGTAACTTTCTATTTCCTTAAAGCAAAAAATGGCATTACAACATCTGGTAATAAATTAGTACCATCAATATATGCAGTTCGAGAGCAAGCAGTTCAATTACAATATCGTAAACACATGGTTTCCATTTAGTCCTAGTGCCCATCTCGGACATAGAAACAGGCAAACAGGAGTTCAAAATTTCAAATACAATCTATAGTCAAAGATGCAATATTCCGCTCTGCTGAAAATCTGAAATAATAAGAAATTTTGGGACTTTAGGGTCTCACCATGTGTTTTAGCTTCTGGTAATAAATTGGTCCCATGAAGATGTATGCCTGTAGTGGCGTGCCATCAATACCTGGATAAAAGAATTTGATGGCTGGGAATTAAAGGAAACTTGACATGCCTCCAAATACCATGCAACAGAAAAATTGATACAATAACTAGTTGAAAATTCAACACATCGCAAGGAGTAAAACAGGGAAAGGAAAGGAGGAAATTGACCTGCATATATGAAGTCCTTTCCATTATAGCTAAATCCATGCTTGACCAGGGTTTCACTGTTACATAAAGATGGTTATTGAGGACGATTCAGATGCCTGATTGTCTGAAACTTAAAATAGTTGAATAGAAGTAAACCACCTTATAACTTCAACTCGGTCTGCATGGCCACTGCTTTCCCCAAAGGCACTGCCATAATGGAACCTACCACAAGAAACTCCAGCTTTACCTCCAAGAAGTTCTATCATCTTTCCAACAGTCATTCGGCTGAAATTAACAGTGAGAGAGTTATTAGTTTTATCCAATCATGTAAAGTAGGAATTTCAACTATCAGATCAGTAAAATAGAAAAAGAACTTTCAATTCACTAGACAGAAAACATGATAAAAAAAACTAGATGCAGAGAATCTGGCTACTAAGAGATACAATGTCATACTCTTGAATTAAACATCAAGTCATATTTTGATTTTTGACAAACCTCAAACAGTCATGAGTAAAGCTGGACAATTACCTTGGAAATCCATGAGGATTCATAATTAGATCAGGGCATATGCCACGTTCAGAAAATGGGAAATCTTCTTGCTGGACAATGTTGCCACAGACTCCTTTTTGCCCATGTCTGCTACTAAATTTGTCACCAAGCTGGATGAAACACATATATCCAACAGAATCATTTCAAAGTCCAACCAACAATTTCAAACCTTGAAAAAAAGCAATTCTAGTACAAGCCTAGAACAGAAACCGACCTCCGGCCTTCGAGTATGGCGAATAATAAATTTAATGCACAAATTGTTATTCTTATCAGAGGACAGAGCTACTCTGTCCACCACACCCGTTTCTCCTTCAGCACACTTGAAAGATTGTATACTTCGCTTGTATGCACTGGAATCAGAAATTAATTAAATTTTATGTTATTACCCACATTAAAAAAGAAAAAATAAAATTAACATAACAAATCAGAACAAAGACCTATCTGCCAGTCCCATTGGTGATACAATTGGCCCTCTTGTGACTACTGGGGACTCCTTATTAATGTAGACATCATGAGGTCTAATGATTTCTCCTGGAGAAGCTAATCCATCATCATCCAGAATCTGGATCAACAAAAAGGAAATATCATGAAGTGGAGGCTCATTTCTCCATTTGCAATGACTACAAATTAAATATGGAATATTTAACATTAGATTGACAACAGAAATACATAATCAAATATGATATATAACTGAGACTCTAGTATCTAGAATCTGAATAAAGTGTCTAATACAGGCAAAACACAGCCTATGAAACTTTTAACACCTGTACAAGGCCATAAATTTTAGACATAGGAACCATCACTGAGGTTTTATTGCTTATTCAGTGATCCACTCAGGTTTAAAAGGTATAATCACCCGTGCATTTCAAGGCTGATGCTGACTAGTTGATAAAATCATCCCCTTATTTCAGATTCCAGATTCCAAATTCCAAATTAGAGGGCTTACAGCCTTGCAGTATAAATAAGGAATTTACCTGCGTCCTATCGGCATCATATCCATCTCGCTGTGGTCTAACTATCCTATCTGATGCACCGTTCTCGTACTTTTGGCACACAGCTGCGACCCTGTTAAAAATAGTCATTTAGAATAGGGGAATAGCTAAATTGAAATCTTAACACACAAAAAAACAATAGATTTTGGTCAAGAGTTAATGAACCTCTTCAGTACAATGCAGCGACCAAAACCACGATCAAGAGATGACTTGTTCATTACGATTGCATCCTCTATATCATATCCACTAAAGCTCATCACAGCAACAGTTGCATTCTGTCCAGCACCTAGTTTATCATACCCAACCTACAAATAAAATAATTAGTTTACAAGGAAAGATGCCAGCCGATCAGAAACAAGATACAACACCTACCAGCTCAATTGTTCTAGTTGTCAATAAGGGCCTCTGTGGATATACCAAAAGGTATATCAATGTATCCATCCGATACAACTGCAAAGTCAAAAGTAATGGTTAATGTCAGTTGTTAAACACGTCACAAATGCCTAAATACAGAATGGAATATTATGTGCATAAGAAGCATCAGAAGTCCAGTACATTAAAAGCCCTTTGTACGGCACGTAAAGGCAGCAATAGGAACCCATTGCATTATCATCAAGGGATAATAAATTTTATGAAAGAAGGTCAGCACGATATGCCAAATCCAAAGGCATCCAGACTCTATGTCAACAGGAAGTTGCAACATACTTTGAAGACATAGATCAATATATGCCCCCTAAAGGGAAAAAGGAAAATGTTTGCTTTCTAACAAACAAGCAAAGTGGAAGTAGAAGTGAATCATTTGCCTTGGTTATATTCATAATACAAAAGAATGCGAAAGGACTTTTAGTAGGTTTCCATAGTTGTAATTTGTTGGAGTCAAGTATCCCAAATAAATACCTTGCCATTAGACATCTATATATTAGAAACAAAGTAAAGGCTACTTCAATCTAAGCCTCCCAGATACAACAACGTCGAACCTCTTGCATTTATCCCATGCATTTTAATCAAATCCAAAAGACTAATATGCAAGGCAAGCAGTACAAATTGTCTAATTTCACAACTGAATGAGAATAATATGAAGAAGTGAGAGGCAAAACAATTAGCTAATGTCAATGCAAGAGTCAAAAAATTAAAGAAATAATATTTACATTCAACAAATAGAGAGTACACATTAAAACTTCTTTAAAAAATTAAATGATACAAAATCAACATTAAAAAATAACACTTCAAAATTCATTTTTTTTTTTTTAATAAAATGGTCAAGAACTAGAAAGCATGAAATAAAAAGTTCGCTCACCTGATTATAGGCAATATTACCCATAGCTTGCTTGCCCATAGCACACTATAAAATTAACAGTAAGAGAAAGTTTAACAAGGTAAATAAAGAGAATAAAATGATGAAGATAATACAATATACTTGGTGGTGGTGGTTGGGGGGGAACCTGATAGGTATTCCTTGGTGACTGATTGTGATGAGGATAAGGTATCAAACCAGCAATAACGCCTAGGATTGTGAAAGGCTCTATTTCAATATGTGTTGTTCTTGGAGTAGCTTCTTTATCATACAGAGCAATCTAAGAAACATTCGGTTATAAATCAGTATCCTTCTAATTGACAATTCCAAAATGAAAATGCGACCCAGATCTAGGCAACATACAGACCAGTGCATTGTTCTCCTCATTCACATCAAGATACTCGATCAAACCGTCCCTCAAGAAACTGTTGAAATTGCGGACACCATCCTAAAAGAAAACAATGAATAATTAAACAAGGAGAAGAAACCAAACATGAGAGTCAATCCAATTATGAGAAATGCCTTCAACTCTTTCATGTGGTGCTCTTTAATCCTTGGCACGCCCTTGTCAGCAATTACAACTGGACGACATACACGGCCTCCATCAGAAGCAATGTACACACAACGCTGCAAGGTGAATTTACTGGGGGTTACTAATTGCATAGCAGTAATCCATCCAGTTTACAACTGGAATACAGAACATGAAAACTGGCTATTAAATAAAAACAATTTCATGAAATCTGTTAAAGATACAATGAACTTTCTATCAAGACAACCAAAGGGCAGCTGTCATAATCAACCGAAAAGAAGAATCTATAATATTGCATTCAACCATGATCCATTGCAAAACAGCCCATGCAATTTGGGGGAAAAAACATAGAGAAAAAGAAAAGAAAAAGAGAGGTGAGGGTAGCAATTAAACAAGATAACCAAAATGAAAAACGTATGAAACTTTACCTGCTTTTCATTCACAAAGATGCTTACAAACTCCCCTACTTTACCAGCCCTTCGTAGCTTTCTCAAGGCCCTAGCAAACCACTATGTACATAAAAAGATAATGTAACTACAGTCAAGTACTTTTTTATAAGTTATTGACAAAAAGAGTACTTCAGTAAAAGAAGACTTTGAAGAATATAAACCAAAATCATAATAAATGGATGAAAAGAAAATGTTACTGATCCACTCCTTATCCTAAGTATACTGCCCAACATCATTGTATAAATCCTACACCAGCAACACCTTGCAGCCCCAATTCATTTGGTCATCAGTGCTGTAAAAATCAGCCAAAGTACCCCTAGGCCGAGGCGATTTCACCCCGGCACCTTTTAGTCGGGCGGCCGAGTCGCAAACCTCCAGGCTGGATGGCTGGAAGTTTTGGACGATGGGCAATGGCAACTCGGCAACGCTCAGGCCTGTGGACTGTGTAGAGCAGTTGGAACCTATTATTATTTTCACTCGGCCGCCTATGTGGCCTAGGCACTACCCCCCCCCCCCCCCCCCAAATGCCCGACTACCATCTAGTGCCTTCTACAACCTTGTTGGTCATACAGAATCTAGTAAAACAATTGTTTCAGACCCAACTTTCTTGTAGATTGTGGTAATGTCTCTTTTCCATACAGACCAAAAAACCAACCAATGTATATACAAGGGTGTATACGTACGCTCATTACAAAGAAAAATATATAATGGGTGTTTATGTACCTGTGGCTTCATGTGCTTGCCAAGAATATGTCCATTTAATATAACCAAAAAGGAATTCGGCGTGTGAAGCTCTTCTCCAGACACAAGTTCCAAGTCTTCAACTCCAAACCCATAGCACTGCAAAAAACATATCATGCATGTATAACATGAACTGTGTATATTGAACTGATGAAAAGGAACTATACAGGACTACTATTTATACAAGCTAGTAGTAGGATTAACCAAGCTCTCAACCACTCTTTTCAAATTCAAAATGAGTAGTTGAGAGCTACTCTCTCAACCTCCCTCAATATCTTCTAACAATGCAAACAACATAACTTTGAACTTTAAGCAGAGAGAAAAAACATCCCCAAAAAATCACGATAGATTCAAAACTAATATTGTGAAGTTTAGCACAAAATCTAGCAACTGAATAAACAAATAAACAATTTCCACAATGCTCACCATAAGTATGCCATTTTAATAGAACAGTTTTATTTTCTGCAGTTTCTTCTACAAATATGAGCTTTTGTAACTAAAGATTACATAGACTAGCCCTTTAAGCCTATAGTATTATTTCTAAAGTAATTGTCTGGGAGGCATTTATATCAAGAGCCAAGAGGTTACCAAAGCAACCCACAGATGCAAATTTGAACAACCTGATCAAAATTGTTTATTGGAACCTAAGCAAATTAAGAGATGTACTTAACAGAGAATAATTTTGCATACTCATCTCAAAAGTGACGAATAAAGTCATAAACACAGAAAAAAGTAGATACAGCCTAATGTTCAAGAATTACATATTATTAAATTAAAGAAAGAGAAAAGTACCAGAGAAACAATAGGACGCTCATCTTCATCTGTCGTAACATGAGTCATCAAGGCTAGATTTTTCACCAGTCCACAAGCTTCACCTTCCGGGGTATCACAAGGACACAGCATGCCCCACTGTTATTAAGATGGTGTTTACTTATTGAATTAAGAATTTGAATAAAAGATGTTTTACAGTAAAAAGCTCAGGAAATGGGTCTACTTGACTTGGTTGTAAAGCTCTAGGCCCGCTAACTTTTCTTGACTTCTCAAATTGTGGTTGGACCTTGGTCATAAAACCCAGTGATACTATGTATGATAGCCTATTTAGGACCTGTTACAAAAATTATAGTAACCCTCAAACACCTTTGTTGCTAATTTCACCAAGACCATATCTAGGCCAAGGCAAAAAATGTCAGAGGACCAATTAGTTGAGTAATAGAGATGTAGCAAGGACATAAGTACCTGTGTCATGCCTTTCCGGTGCATCCTAAACCGTTTTACATCCCAATTGCCAGTGGATAAAGTTCTTTCCAGTCCTTGGGAAATGCTATCCTTCACTATATACTGAGAAAACACAGTATATATTTTGAAGAAACATTAGTGCTTGCATTACTCAAATATTATACAAAAGGACACAGAGAGATTGGCAATGAGACAGAAAAAAACCCCTCTTAAAAGTCAATTTTCATTCTGGAACCATTAACTTAACAAATTACTTGAATCTCTAGGGAAAAATTTCCCCTAACTGTTCTGACTAAGAATAGAATTAGTCACTAAATCTACCACATAAGAGAAAGGCCCTACAGAAATTGAGAACCCTTTTTCCTTTCAGAATCTTGTTTCAGTACAATAACATCCGCAGAAGAGACCATTCAAAGTCCCCTCCTTTCAGTATTCTACTAGACAAACAAGAAATTTAAAGGTCTGGTGTTCAGGAAAACAAAAGGATCTAGCATCAACATTCCCATAAGTTCTCCACACATGTACCATATGAAGTAAAACTAAACTTCCACTTCGCTTTTACATCACTAAGACTTGCTATTTAGTTCAAAAAAACATACTTGAGAAATATCCAATCTGCTAGATCGACTTGGCTTTGCCAGGACAGCATCAATAGTCCTTCGAACCTCATCATTCATTGTCTTAAACAAATCCTGCAAAAAGAATTTTAATGGAACACATCACATCTTGTAATCATACACATAGGGGTGACCATGTTTTAGTCTGAAATGTTATTGTTGGAACTAGAACCGAACAGTTCGGTTCCAGTTCCTATAAGGTCCCGGCTAAGGTTCTTGTTATGTATGTGATTTAATTGTTATAAAATTAAGTGCAAGGCCAAACTTTATATTTAATTATTTTTTAACTTTGAATAAGTGAGTTAATAATTTAATGGCTTTTATTAAATTGTAATTGAGAAAAGGAGGTCAAAAATTAACTTTATATTTATTTAATAATTTAATAATTTTATACAACTTTTGAGTAGTGGATTAACAATTTAATAACTTTGATTAAATTGTCAATAACTTTACTTTTTTCAACTTTGAGTAACTGAGTTATTAAATAACCAAAATGATAAATGTATTTTTTTTTTTAAAGTTACCAAAAAAAACCCTGGAACCTCACTAGAACTGAACCAGCAACAATGGTTCCAATTCATAACTGGAACCTCTAGTAGGGAGGTTTTGTTATCGCTCATGCTGTCTTTGAACCTTGAACCACCAGTTCTAAACCGAAACCGACCATGGTCAGGTCTACATACATGCATGTTCATGGAAATAAAACACCCACTCTGAAAATACCTCAAAAAGTAGGGACAATAGCTGTCCAGAGAGCTCTAGACGTTTGTTCCCCACATAGTCCTGAAAAATGTAAAATATAGAAATATCAAAAGGATAAAATGTAAAACCTGAATTACTACAATCCTTTTTAGAAAAAGGTTGATTAAAAACGAAAATAAAATAGAATTGTAAAAGTGTGAGTGGTTGACTACACTAATAGAAACAACAGCAACAACAAAAAGCTGCAAAGTCATTAAATTTCACAAAGATCTTTTAAACAAAATCTCATCAATTTACCGATGAAATCCAAGCAATAATAGAAAAACTATCAGAATCTCATACAATCCAAACTAGCAAATAAATAAGAAGTCCCTACATGATTCAAAAATGTGCAAAAATTTTATTCCTTGGGGTTGACTTTAAGGATTCTACATTGCTGTCTGGCCGTATTAAGAACTAAACCTACCATGAACCATTGTGCTAGCATATCTTCAATAAGAGCTTTGGGAGACATATTTTATATATCAAGCTAACACTCCTCATAACTGGGTGCAAATGTACAGAACAGACAAATATTTTATATATTTTGCTTTGGATAATTGAAATTTTATTCAGAGAAAATGACACCAAGCTGTTCTCACAAAAGACTCTGCGAAAGATCAATATTGCATAGAATTTAGGAAATCCATAACTTACACTCATCCACTGCATCAATAATAATCCCAAAAAATATATTTTAATTAATAAACACAAGTAGAGAAAACAACATTCATTTTTTCATTAAAATTATACACAAAAATAGATGAGTAAACATTCCACCACAATCTTCTGACTTGTTTCCTCACTCAGGTGAACAATACTAAGAGTATGTCTGTATGTGTCTAAATACAACTAAAATACCTTGTCATCCATTGTATCTTTGTTTAGGATAGCCTCCATCATGCGTCTTAACATCACCGCAACATACATGCATTTTTTGCGGAAATTATTGTGATAAACCTACATATGAGGAGAGGGTAGGTCCAAGATATGTTAAAATATAATATATTATCAGAATCATCTAAAGGCAGTGGAACTTACTGGGATGTTCGCAAGAAATATGTCTCGAAGAATACTCAATGCACGCCCTCGCTAAATTTAAAAAAAAAAAAATGCTTGTTAAATTATTCCACGCTACAATTATTGAGTAGAATAACTTCAAAAAATTATTCTCCACAACCAATAACTTCAAATTCAATTTATGATTTAAATATAAGATCTTATTCATGTAAATAACTCATTCACATATTTCAATATATCAATAAAATTATATCAATTTCCATTTAAGATCATCATTATAGTGGATAACAAATCCCACGAGTGGTAAATTCATAACCCTCAAATTTTCAAGTTATATAAAAAAAAATCAATTTTCCTAATTATTTTTTAAAAAATAACCCTAGAAGCATGTAAATAACTCCATTTCACAAATTCAATATAGCGACAAAATTTTATCATAGAAACATATTTGTACATTCATCTGTATTCTGCCAGTCAAAGTGCTGCACTATGTTTCTCGCGGAAAAAGGAGGTAAGGAGTCTATGAAAAGAGGTATCAAAGCAAAGCATTATGTTATGTGCTCACGTCACAGGCAAGAAAATACAAAAGAAAAGAATGAAAAGGAAAAGAAACTCTAGGTTTGCTTGAGACCCAAAACTCCCTAGTACCTTCTTTGGGATTAAATTTCTGCTTTTTCGTTCTTCCAAATAATTGTCCCCTTTATAGGGCTGATTACAAGGATTCCTAACTAATTATTTGGTAGTTTCCAAATAACTAAATTGACTAAACTAATTTGAAGACTAAAACTAATAAACCAAATAACTATTTAGTAGCTTCCAAATAACTAAACTATGTAACAAGCTAAATAACTATTTAGTAGTTTCGTAATATTTAAACTATGTAATATAATTTTAATAAAATAAGACTTCTTTAATCATAACAACTTCCTAAATAATCATGGCACCAACATGTATAACATTAATTGATAAATCAAAAGTAAATTCATTAAATACACCTAGGAGGATGAAGCAAACCTTATCACCAGATCCAGTCGAATATGGTAATGCTTTAAGCTGCAAAAACAAACAAATAATAAGTAAATTAAGGAGTACACAAAAATTCCGTTAAGATATATAAAGTGACAGTTTCATTGAGAAGAGTCCAGGAACTACAAGTTCAAAAAATGTTAAATTTGATCCATAACTGTTGGACATTCTTAACTTTCACATTAAGTCAAATTAGATATTAAAGTCTTGACTCAACTTCCCTTGAATTATGGAAACCTAGGATCTTATGGACTTGCTTTAGGTTCATTGAAGAAATAGGAGTACAACCGAAGTTAAACCAATCGGAAAGCAAACCACATGGACGTTTTTCAGAAAAATTAAGGCAAAAAAATTATCTCTTATGGATAAGTGGGAAAGAATTCTAGTAAGGAAATTTATTAATGAAGAAGACTGTAGCTTTTCTTTTGGATATTGAAAAGTGAGAAAGAGAAAACACAGGTGAGTTGACAAAGCTAACTAGCACATTTCCATATAACCTCTCCATTGACTATGTCAAATCCTGGTCAGTATCCACACACACACCACACAAATAGAGTAAATGGGAAAACTCAAGATCTCTAAAAAGAATAAGATAACCATAAACAAACCCCACTGTATGCCTAAGTAAAAATGGTAAGACAGCAGAGAATCTGCAATTACTCTGCTTGTTAACACACAAATTGGTTACTTACATCATCAAGTGAAAAGGAAATTAATAGAAAGGAAACGTACAATCTTATCACTATCAAGGAACTCCAGGGCCTGATGTTGAGTATACACCTTAAGGTCTGCACATTCCTGAAATAAAAAAGCACAGAAAAATACAAAAGATTGCCAAAAGATTCTAATATTCAACCATCTCCATGACTCAACCTACAGAGATAATTAAGTTTCAACCCACAAGATTGATAGGTAAATGTCTGTCAAACAGAACCGATGGTAAAAAGTGTGACATCAATGTAGGCAAACAAGGTTAAGGAAAAAAGGAGGAAAACTCCATCGTCAATTGACAAAAGTTGCAAAGTTAGTGGATACATATCACAGAAAGACATCTACCACCATAAGCTAAAACGGATAACACTAGGTCACTAACTCTCCGGTGATAAATAGAATGCCGCTTTATTCCTTAAGTTCCAATTATACTGACAAGAATGCTTTAGAGTAAGATTAACATTTTGAGGTTGGAGCACAGGGCAAATAAAAAGAATGTCACAGTTTATGGAAAGATACAAAGATTGAAGGAAAAATCAAAGTTAGAATGACAAAAAACTTTAAATTTTAATCTTTCATAGTCCATATCAATTATTAAACTAAACTCTGGCCCGTTTCTTAAAGCAATTTAAAAAAAAAAAAAAAAAAAAAAAAAAAAAAAAAAAGATTCTAAGCCCAGCAAGGAGCACAGAGGAAATCCTGTAGTTTACCTCAATGGAAGGCAAAAGCAGAGCACTATACCGAGGATCTCTTCCAACCATCTGCACAACCTCTTGATCACTCTCCATTCCCATGGCCTTCATAACAACCATTATTGGAACCTACATACAAAAATTAAATTCACCTGTAAAGCTAACAATATCGGTAATAACATGAAATGAGATGCAAGAAACAAATCAGTGCATGGTGCATCAAAAGAAAAATAGAAGGTTGAATAGATGACCTTGGTTTTGAATTGATTCAATTCAAGATAAACCTTTTCTTTCTCCATTTTTACCACAGTTTTGCTTTTTGTTTTCTCTGTACTGCTTGTAACAGATGCTTGTACCCTGGAGACAAGTTTTTAAAAAAATCTTGAATGAATAAAACCCAACAATAAACTCAATAACCTTTTTTTCAGAGTTTTGAGATAATGTAAGCCATATGCATGGACCATAATAATTAGGAAAAAGCAAGACAAATACTTATTGAAAAGCTTGGATGACAAATGATTATGGAATTTTCTCCCCTCTTCGGGTACTACCATAATATATCAAGAGTACACCTCAGATACTAGGCTGCTAGAACTTCAACTTGTATAAAGAAAAATAAAATAAAACTCCCATAAAAACCCCTAATTTCTTCCAAAGGAATTGTACAGGAAATAAAATGTCTCCTAAATATCTTTATTACTCCATAATCTACAGGCCAATGAAAAATACAAATATCCATCTGAAAACACATGTTTGATAAGAGACAGCACACCCCTCTCCTACTTCAAGCATGCCCCCGTAGCTTAATCACTCTATTGGTCTAGGTGGCACCGGTGAGCCATACGAGTTAGTGAAAGCAATAGAGTAACAAATAATCAAGGAAAAGTGCAAATAGATCTTGTAATATGAATCACTCACCAACCCTTCTTATCAGTATCAATAATTATTCTGTTCTTGGAAAGCTGCTCTTGGATTAAAATAACCTGGATTAATTAAGCAGAAGACAGCCATTATAGTCAAAAATAGACTATAAAAATCAAACAAAAACGATTAACAACAAATTTCAAAACTATGTTAGAAGTGAAGAATTTTTCCCACCTTTTCTGTGCCTTTGACAACAAAATATCCTCCAGGATCAAGTGGGCATTCACCTAAAGTAAATAAAGGAACAAGGTAACAATCGCAAGTGCTTTTGCTTAGATAATAAATAAATAAATAACCATAATCATCATGCAAACTAATTTAAAAAGTTCATTACCATAGATGCATGCTACACTTTTAAAACAGGATTTTGCTACCCTTTCAAAACTAATTTAAACAGTTCATCATCATATATGTAATATGTTTGCTACCCTTTTCAGCCAGGTTGTAGCTTAGATCATTGCAGTAGTAGTTAATTGGCTCATACAATCAATAAATTACACTAGTCTAGCAGCAGGTTTTATAGTTTAAAGTTTAAACGTTATTGGTGGCAAATGACTAATTCATAAGAAAATTCCATAGCTCTATATCCAGTGACCTGTTAAGGTGAACAATTATCCTCATTATCAATTATTATAAACAGACAATCAAATTTGAATAATGCTATGCTGGCAAAACACTACAGATCCATCTGAATAGTTAGAAAGCATACCAAGTCTTGCCAATTCATCTTCATCTTTTCCAGTCAGGATGCAACATGAACTCCTTAGCATGATAGGCATCCTTCCAATGATAACTTTTTTCTATGGGGTGTTTCAGAGTGTGCACATGCACCAGAGATAGAAGAAGAGACTTGATATCAAATTCAAAAAGGCAAAGCAACATCAACCAATTAAAAATACGAAACATATATGGTACCTTGTTTGCAGGGGTTATTTGCCCATGACTCCCAATTACATACTCAATGTTGACATATATTGGAGCAGCATAGCTGAAATTAGTAAAAAAGCATGCAATGAGGGAAAATATAGAAAGAAGCAATAAGTATTTAATTGTTTTATTTTCTTTTTACTTTTTTTTTGGGGGGGTGGGGGGGCGGGGGGTAGAGTAGTTATAGAGTTCAATATAAAGTTTTGATTTCGCTTCACCAAAAATTGCACTACTTATCCCCAGAGCACATCCAGCACGAAAGAGCTCAGCAATGACAAAAGACACTAAAATGAAAAGGTACTGACGTGGTGTCTGATTGCCGGCATTGATGTGGAGTCAACTTCTCTGTCGCGCCATCAATTATCATTGATGGTTCGCCAATCCAAACATCTGTGTACCTGGCATTAATGAAAAGGGTTTGGTATGCAATCATGACTGTAGTGGGACATCAGGTTTACAAATTTTTAAAATGAAATTGTTGGAGGTACTTATAACGGCTACTAAAGAGATAAAGAAGACTCACCGGAGAAAAATGCTAGGGTCAATTGCTGATCTGATCTCATTATTTGCCCTGACAATCTTTTTTATATCTGTCTTAATGAGGTAATTATACGAGTCCAAATGTTGCTTCACCAATCCTCTCACCTACAATTTATCCATAAAAAGGAAAAGAAGAAAACTTTAAACTAACTAGGAACAAAATGAAACACAAAATCATATATTAGTATAGTACCTCGAGAGAGCATAAAAAAATACAATCAAATAAGTGAACATAGATTTTTTTTTGGGGGGGTATTTCTAACAATCACAGATAAACACCTATGGCCCTTCAATAACACTGCTGCTTCTACCATAACACTCCCAATAGTAATTTGATTTGAAACTCCAAACAAACAGATGGTAACTTATTCAATGGTAAGTAAAAAGCATAATACTAAATTAAAACAGATATTAAGTACCTTCAAGAATTCGGGAAGAAGCTGAAACTTGTCGACTAAATTTTTAACTGGGGACGAGAGAAATTGCTTGTCAACTTTGGGGTTCCTGGATTACAGACAAGCCAAAAAAAAAATGTTATCGGAGCTCTAAGATGAATACAGAATGTCGGTAAATTAGAGACGTGAAAATCAAGGTATACATACTCATTCTGTTCATCGTATCCCATGATAATTGGTGTGTGTTCGTCGGCTGCAGAGCAAAAGGAATGTCAGGTTATAATTCGGGAGGGCGAAGGGACTAAGGGAGGGAAACCGTTAAACCAAAAACCCCTCTTACTACTAGGGGAGTGTATTATGTATAGATGGTTCGGATCGGTTCAGGTGGTCCGAGGCTCAGCCCATTTAGATTTTAGATTTTAGATTTTAGATTTTAGATTTTAGATTTTAGATTTGTTTTTTTTAAACCTAATTATATTTTAAAATGTAAATTGACCTTTCAGTTTTATTTTGTTTGGGTTAGGCCGGATATTCGAAGGTAAATCGGGTAATATAAATTTTTTAAAATAATAAATTTTAACAAAAATCTTGAAAATTGAAAATATAAATTATATTTAATTTAATTTTCTAGATTTTCAGACTTTTAGTACACTGTATACTTCAATACTTGTACTAAATTACTATAATAAGTGTATTAGTAACTGAGTAGTTATTATACAAAACTGAAAATCTGAATTACAAAATTACTATAATCTAAATAAAATTTACATAATTACAACTTACACATTAATAAAAAAAAAAACTTACAAGCCAACTACTAAGTACTAAGTAGTAATACAAATTACAAAAGATCAAGTTATCCAAATTTTAAATAATTACAGATTCATGATTCATTCACAAAATATGAATAAAGTAATTATCCAAATCCTACTCGTATTCCTGTGAAAACTTGAAAAATGAGTAAAGTAATTAACAAGTAAGCAACATAAAATAATTAAACACTAAACAATTATAAAGTTGGTTCAATAAATTTTTTGTTCATATCAAATATTTGGATTAAGGGAAAATTGCTACAATAATTCCAGGTGTAGCTAAGAAAAGGATCACTATGAACATTGAGCAACATATCAGCTTAATCCTTATTTTAGATCATATGTGGGAGCTTCATCATTGCCCCAAAATAGGGACAAACATAATAAAATTTACCAAATTGAAACATTACCAAATTTACAAAAGTGCACAAGGGGCCAAAAGGCAGCAACTTACAAGTTACCAAGTCTCAAAATAGTAGGAGTGAACATAATTACCAAAAAATCGACAAAACCGATAACTGACAACCGACCCGACCGATAATTTTGATTATCGATCAGTTATCGGTTATAAGGCTAAAAACAATTTCGGTTATTCGGCTATTCGGTTATTTATCGGTTATGAAGGTATAATAACTGCGGTCACCGAATAACCGATATTATTATTATTATTATTATTATTATTATTATTATTATTATTATTTCGGTTATTCGGTTACCAAAATAACCGATCAAAACCGACATAATCGGTTTCGATCGATTAAAAGTGTATGTTTGGTCGATTTCGGTCGGTTATGGAGATTTAAAAAATGACATAGGTTATTCGGTTATTAGTCGGTTATTAACCGTAACCGATCGATGTTCACCCCTACAAAATAGGGACCACTGGACAATATTACTATTTACCATATTTACAAGGACAACAACTAACAAGTTACCACTTACCAAGTCTCAAAAAACTGGGACAATATTAGTTGTCATTTGGAAAGACAATTAATTAATTTGAGATAGGATGTACTATGTAATATAAAGTATAAAGAATAAAATTACATGAATTGTGGGCCGTGTATAACCACTAGTTATCTCAGTTCCACTTCCACCATCAGCACTTAATTCTGCAAAATAAAAATTACAAGTGTAGGAAGTGTTACCTTGTACAAATCTCTCTAATTCCTCAAGATTTTTCCCAATATATAATGAGGTATTTGGCAACCTAAGTCAATCACGAGTACAAACCAAAACTTCCACAATTTTTGGAGTTAATGAACTTCTACGATGATATAAAACCCTCTCAAATGTATTGAAGACATATTCTGAGACAACAGTTTAGATTGGTATAGCTAGGACATCCCTAGCAAGCTTAGAAAGGATATTAAATATTTCAGAATTCATCTTCCACCACCTAAGTATATCAAAAGATTTTTCTTCTTCACATATCGCCTCACTTAAGTAATTTTCCGACTCAATTTTTGTCTTCCCCCACTTTTCACAACTGAGACAATTGCAGACCAGGTAATATCAGTACAAGGACTACTAATACTAGAAGCAGGAACAGTAGGGACAACAGTAGGATTACAAGTGACAACATAATCATCAAACAACTCAGTCTAACCATCAAGCACATTCTCAAAGTAGGCCTTACCTTTAACATCACCATTCATACTATTGATTTGAATTGGCATATACTCTAATTTGTCCCTATGGTCCATAATATTTGCAAAGAAAAATCATAAAATTCATTTTATCTATATTACCTAAAAAAAAATTCTAACTCTTCAAGTAATATGTTAATCAACCATTCGTATTAGAGTCATATCAACTCCTCGAGTAACATGACTACTCGGTTGGCTAGATGCATGTGCTAGTGGGATCCTTGGATCTTGACCATTTGGATCAATTGTGACTTGCTCATGGATCTTTGAGGTTGCCTGTTCGGCTTGCCTCGAAGAATTGAAGACCCTAATCCTTCTAGCTCAGCTTCTATCCTTGAGATTCCCATGGCTTTCGTCAAATCTTTCATTTCATGCTTTTAAGTGCCTGCTCAATTGGAGGCACTACTGGTAGGCTTGACTGTTGAACATCTGAAAAAGTAACTATTCGAGTTATTATTCAGACTATTTGAACCGAGTAACTGAGTTCCTAAGTCTAAAAAGTAAAATTTTGGAGACTAAAATTTTATAACTTTGGTATCATCAAAATCTAAATTATACTTACTAACATGTGCATCTGTGGGCTAAGGTACGAGGTATGTGTGCACTAAATTATAATGTTATGTGCATTCCAAGGTTGTGTGTACACTTCAATTTTAGTGTGCACATTTAATCTAAGTATGTTGGTTATAGTGTGCACATTTAATCTAAGTATGTTAGTTATAGTGTGCACATTTAATCTAAGTATGTTGGTTATAGTGTGCACTGAATCGTGAAATGTGTGCGCTATTGATTTGTTAGTGTGCATGTCGTCATTTATATTAAGTCAATTGTCTGTTGTTATTGTCTTTGGATTTATATGTACACACCTATGCTATTGTGTGTGCATTTATGTATTGTGCGGGGTTTTAAATGTATGCACTCTTGTTGATTTTATTTCCGCTCAAATTGTGAACTTATTCATTAATGCGCACAAATTTGTAAATATATGCATACATCCGGTAAACATGACCCACATTCGTCTTTGTTATGTAGAAAAATATGCTTAATTATGTGTGTACATGGAAAGAAATAAATTAAAGAGAGAAAACAAAAAAGAAGAAGATATACACGGATAAACTTATTTTGTTATGTAGAAAAATATGTTTATTTTGTTGTTGACTTACATATTTTTGACAAAAGTTGAGAATTTTACTTAGACAAATTTGCCCCTTAATTGATATTATAGGGGATTTGGATGGTTGATTAGACACATGGATTTAGAACGTTTACTTTTAATCCTAGCCACTAATCTCTTTATTTCTACGGTCTATTCTCATGTGGGAAATAGTTCTTATAGGAGCATCACCCCACACACATATAAGCTTAGGGTTTGGTGAACCTTCCCGTGAGAACGTGTTGATGTACTTTCAAACCAATATAATGCACTGTAAAACATTTTCAAATGCACCATAATTGAGATCAGGTAGTATCGGGTGCATTCAGAAATTCTTTACGGTACATTGATAATTTCTTGACAGTGCATCCTCCCCCTTTCATTGATTTTCACATTTGATATGCACCCTCAAACATTTCCAAATGCACCAGAGTTGACAATCAATAAAGATCAAGTAGTGCACATTACATTTAGAAATGCTTTACACTAAATTGATATTGGTTTGAAAGTGCATTCGCACGTTCTCACGGGAAGGCTTGTCCGCACCTGATCCCATTACTACATATATATATATATATATATATATATTGCACATAAACTCCAACATTGCTAAACAAAGACTAGGCCTTTATAAACTTATGCAGCAAAAATCTGTCTTCAGCAACTGCATTCATTGCAAGAAAAAAGGGAAAGGTTATATGTAACTCTACTCATCTAAGCCTCGATCACAATCTCCTACTGGGAAGCTACATGGGTCCCATGTAGAAACAGTGCATCTGTGCCCAACTTCACACAAAACAATTCCCACCTTCATGAAAGACTCTTCCCCACAGATTTTCTGCAACCTCTTCTGATGCAATCTCAAAGGGCCTGCAATAAAATGGCCCTTTTACTTGTAGTCATGGTATGGCACCACATCCAAGGTAACTGAAACAACATATACTCGTGTTACAGTATAAATTGATGTCTAAGTAAAACTCGGAGTTCAAATTCTGTGAGCCTTGTCACCAGGCTGGTATAATGTTACATTTATAGTATATCTGAATCCTTTTCTGAACAAAGTAAAATTCAAATTAAATCAACATGGCTATAGAACGGAAAGCCTTTTTTGGAGGTACAAAATAACCCCAAATCCTGAATGATGGCATTTGGAGACAGCAGCTGTCCAAGACTCTCAATAGCATCCGCATGGGAGAAATAAATGCAAGCAGAGTTTGGCTAAAAAAAGTAGCAATCACAGCACCTCATTAAAACAGTAATTGGTCTGCAACTCTAGCTACTGGTCCACCTCCTTCTCCGTGGTGGACGCTCTGGCTTGACCTCTGAATCCGGACGGGCCTCTGCTTGCGCAGAAGGAAAAGATTCATTTTCCATCTTCTTGGTCGTCATTGCTTCTTTTTCTCCAGGCATGGGAAGCTTGAATCGCTCACTTCTCTTCTTCAACTTCTCAACAGTCTCCAAGTGTTTATCCTCCATTCGTTTCGCATCAACATTATTAATCTCAGGAACACTAGTTTTATCACTCTGTTGCAATTGTTGGTTGTCTTCCACCTTCTTAGAAGATTCATTAGGATGTTGCCTATCAGAGGAAGGTCCAGTGCTGTTGTACGCATCATTCTCTTTTATCTTCAAGGAAGTAGATGACTTCATGTTGACACTAAAATCTCTTTCCTTGTGGCTTGTCCATCTTTCCAATTTGGAACGTCCTCTCCTCGAGTCTGGCTGCTCA